AAAAAAAAAAAATCCAGAAAACCTGTCATATGGTGCGATGCACCGCAGTCATACATCCAATCAAATGAGCTACGCTTACCGAAAAGAGGAGACTTATTTCGGGCCGAAGTAACGAGATTAACAATAGACTCCCATTAAGCACTGGCCAAACCAGAAATAGACACTCAGTCCGAATCACTTAAAGACAACCCACCGGGCGAGCCGAGATCTCCAGACGATCCGTTAGCATTGTGAAAATTGATGGGACCACCGCTAAATGTAGCATTAGCTCGCGTCTGTCCGGTCCTTCCACCGTGCTTGCTATTACCCGTACGACCACCACCTTTGCCGGAACCACCGTCGCGGCCATTCCCGGTACCCCACCATTCTGGATAGCCAATGACCTCAAAGCACTTGGCAGCAACATGACCCTTCTTTCCGCAACTTTACAGGTGAGATTACCGAGCGTCCGCCGGCTGCACCACCATGATCCCCCATGATGGTTGTTGCAAGTGGAGCCTCACCGGCAACTTGCAAATTAGCATGGTGAGCGATTCCTGTTGAGCCGAGAATACCCGCGCCGTGTCCAGGAGCAGCGCCTAAGATGCCGAAGACATTAGCTTTCACCGTAAAGCTGGAGGTATCGATTGAGTTTTGGTCATGGAGGGTTGTACGTATTCGTTTCTCCCAAATCATCATAGCGTAAACTCGATTGAGGTTTGGCATGGGATCGAGAGCGAGGACGTGTGAGCGTGTCGGGCCATACAGATTGCCATCGAGGCCCACCAGAAATTTATGAACCTTCGCCTCTTCCCGTTGTCGATCCCATTCAGTCTGAAGGTCGTACATGCACTTGCCACAGCGGCACGTAGGAGATCACTCATAGCCTGCAAGTTTGTCCCAAATTTTTTTCATCCGACCATATTAATTTTCGATGCTGCTTCCCACCTGCTTGCACCCTGACAGATCTAGTTTGAGTTGCTGAATTCGGGGCCTGTTGACTATGGTGTATCGTTCACGAAGTGCCAACCATAAATCATGAACAAAATCGGGTTGAGAGATCGCTGATCGGATCGTTGGGTCGATAGTGTTCATGACCCAACATAACAAAAGATGATTGTTAGCAAGCCAATCCTCATATAAATCCTTCCCGGGCTGAGGACGCGAAATAGAACCATCGAGAAAACCAAATTTCTTCCGAGCACCGAGGGCCGTGCGCAAACTACAAGCCCATTCTTTATAATTTGTGTCGCCTTTTAATTGGACATGTGTTATTAACAAACCGGGATTATCGGAGGAAGAAATATCAAAGGGAGAGATGGATCGTTGGGTGACAACCTCGCCTTCGTTTGTTGTACGAGAAGAACCTGTGTCGGCCATGAGAGAAAAGAGCTTCGGATTTT